AGTATGTGAGGAATGATTAGCTGTGCTTCTTTTATGACGCATGAAACCCTGCAAGTAGATAATCTATATAGTAATGAGAAATAAAATTCCCAAAAGAACTAGAAGTTATTAACTTCTAGTTTGTCACTCAAAATGTGTCTCCAACCTACTGAACCTCAGATCTCTGTGTGCATCAGAATCACCAGGGAGTTTTGTTAAAACATAAACTCCCACAGCCTCTCCCAGATTCTTCTGATTTAGGCTGTGTGTAGTGGGATCCAGAAACTTCCATTTATTACTAACAAATTCTCAGGTGCTGCTAATGCTGCTGGTCCGGGGATCGCATTTTGAGAACAGCCGTTACCGACTATTTATTACCAAAATATCAGGACTCAGGGTAAAGCAAAGTGGCAGAAAGCATTTTCTTTTCTCTTTGAATAAATAGAGATAGATTTGGAAATTTAAAAAAAATGAAAATATTTGTCAAGTCATAAGCTCACTCACTGCAGAGATATTATTCAAAATAAACATAAATGCAACACTTTATTAAAGTAAAAGTATCTTTACTATTAATATACAAATGGTGAAGAGTGACAATTTTGATATACTGTAAGCCATACTTTCAATGTCTCTCATAAATACAAAACTTCAACATTTGCAGTATAATTTTTACAGTTTAGACACATATATACAGCATTTCATAGGGACATACCATATTGAAACAATAGGAAAACTTTGTGGTAGCTAACTTAAGAGTATAGAATTTGAATGGATATATATGTTAAAGAAAATAATTATATGTTTTAATGCATACTGAACACAGCATAGAATTCATACACCAAGAGGAAAAAGAAAGCTTTTTTAACCTTTATTTCTAAGAAGTTCACATATTCCTAAGAGAGTTTAGAGGCAAAAATGCTAAACCATGAACATTCCTTTAAGAATTGGAACAAATATATTTGCTCTTAACAGTACCATTTATTTTATATAATGCATATGGTTCTCAAAAAAAATCCTATCTGCAAAATTGAATCTTAGATTCTGTCTATGTTAACGTTTTCTCCTCTGGATTTCACTATGTTTTCTGTTTGCATTAGTATAATTGGCCTTAATTTTTATCTAAGCAGTGTCCCTAGTCTCTGGTTCAGCACTTCCCCCACTAATGTCCTTCTGATCTATCTCAAATGTAGTTCAGTTTACTTTCTGGATCCTCTCAGTCTTTGTTCCTCTACGCCTGGCTGTGATCTGAAGTGCTCCGAGTTATGCTGCTTCTTATTTCCCAAGGAAGACTGAAACCAGATTCTACTTTTAGTGTGTTTTATGTTTTCATTTTAGAAAAGAAAAGTGGCAGCATTGAATTTACATAAGCAGTTTTTACATTCATAATTAGGAACATGATGTGGACCAAATCCTGAAAATTATATAAAAAAAATTAAAGTAGTGTTATCAGCTAAAGTGTTTAAGCTATTGATAATATTATATAGTGAATAACAAGCCATTTTTAAGAATATGAAATGTGTTATCAAATAAATATTAAGCTTTATATATAATATAAAATTTTATGAGGGGAAATAATTAATCTATTAGCATTTTGTATAATGTTGTTAAACAGCTGCATTTACGTAAGTAAATGCAATTTTTAAAAAAGGGACAAGGACTTGGAAATTCTATTTGTTCAGCAAGTACTACATCTAGGCTCTTTCATAAGTTTCCCATTTACACATATAATTGCTTCATCTCAGAACGTGACTAAGACCATGAGTAGAATACTTTCTTGAAGGATTTTCATTTTCGGATTGAAGTACTTCATTTCCGTGACCTTCCATAGTTTAATTTTAGGATACACTAATACTTCCAGATGCAGTTTCAGTGTGAGAGACAATGTAATAATGCTTCAGAGAATTAATAAGAAATTGCTAATTTTTCCTCTCTAAAGATAAATAATGCAAACAATTCATTTAAAAAATATCTTCTTGTACTCATAAAGTTTGTCAAGTAAGCACTCTGGAAATGATTGGAGAAGAACTCCATGAGCAATTGAAATTTAGCATTCACGTTAGTCTTCATGAAAAAGACCATCGTAGCTTTAGTAAGTGAATATAATATGCTATTCCAATATTTCTTAAATTAAGAAATGGAGAGTATTCTTTCTATCAAATCAGTTGTAGATATTTTTTATCAGTGATTATCTTATCATCAACAATAAAGGATGATCTATCATCCACAAACAAATATACAACAGGATAATGTAGACCCAAGTGATACTAAAATCATTGATCTTATCTTAAAAAGTCATTTGTTGTCTGTCTTACAAGCGGTAAAACACAATTTTAACAATATCTGGAATGTATTTATTATTTAGAACAATAGTACAGACAAAATGAAATGTATTTTGTGTGCATCAATTGTTTTGTCATGAATGGAAATAAGTTACACAGTATAATTTGTTATACTTAGAATTTGTACTTAAGTAAAGTCATTTGAATTGAGCTTCTTGACTAAATGTAAATAAGACAGTACAATTTAAGTGTCACAGATATGAGCAAAATATATATCAATAAAGATAGCAGTTGTTTTTTTTTCTTTTAATAAAGTAGAATGTCATGCTAATCCAAAGGCACAAATATATCTTAATTATTTAAATAAGAAGCATAAAATAAAGGTATGATTATAAAGTTACAATTAATTATTGGCACTCAAATAAATAATTTGATCAATAAAATCCCATTATATAAATGTTTAAATCAAAGACTAAAATTCATGTAAACTTCGCTGGATCAAATAGTCTTTGAAAAATGCTTTTGTAGGTATTAATAATAAAATAAGGGAAACTTTGAGAAACATTACATTAATGTTAGACGTTAGCGTCAATAAAATGGCAATAAGTCAATCTACAAAAATAATAAATAACTCTTTAGAAGTCACAATTCTTAAATTCTTTTGCAGATCATTGTAAAATATGGCGACACCTCAGTTTGTGCCAGTTTTAAAGTCAAAACACATCAAAATGATGATATTACTGTCCCTTCTTACATGTTGTTGAATATAGATTGTCATTGTCTAATTGCACCCAACCTAACAAGAAATACCAATATTTTCAGCGATATTTTCTTCTTTATTTAAAGTAGATTAGGGTTCTGACTATTTAACCCTACTTTTATTCACTCAACTTCTTTGACATTTTATACATTTTATTTAAGAGTACTCTCAGACAGTAAAAATAACATTTATACAGTAATATGGTATGTTTAATCTAGAATAAGAATGAAAAATAAGAACAGATTATTTCAGTTCTACTCATATTTTACAATTTACTACAAGCATCGCTTATTTGGAAACTTTTACAAATAGAGTAAGTTGGAGCATTCCATTGAAATGTTAAAAAATTGTTTTTATCACAGTATTGCCTTGCTCCTGCATGGCATAGATTTCAAGGACAAGAGATAAGGACCACTCAGACAACTGAAACAGTGCACTTGAAACAATCTGTCTACAATTAGTTTCAAATTATCTGCTAACTTCAGATCATTATTCCACATTAGTGGCAAGAAATTTAACAGCATATATATGTATATGTATATATATATATATATTTATATAAAAGAAATATTTAAGTAAATTGCTTTACATTGAAAGTCCAAAGAAATGAGAGAAACGGAACTTCCAGGTTGAGGAAACACAAAAATATTTGTTCTTTATTATGATTTCTCTGCTCTTGAAGTATAGCACAGATATAATAACAGTAAACATGCGAAACAGGTTTCCCAGGTTTTCTAAGTCTTTTGCCATTATTAGTTTAAAACCACGTAGCCCTATCCAGGAAAAATCAGCGTTCGTGGCTACTGCTTCCTGGACACTTTATTAAGCCTGTTAACTTTGCACAAACAAATTCAAGTATTTTGACTAGTTATAGCACATTGGTACAAAAGGGGAGAAAAACAGATAAAGCAAATAGGTGATCAGACAAACATAACTTAAATAACAGCAGTCAAATCCATTAAAAGACCAGTTGGATAATTTCTACTCAGATTCCTAGGTAGACATAGGAATTTCTTTTCTGCAAAATATGCCAGAAAAAAGTAGCTAGGAGAGTTTCCTGCACTGTAATCTTGTGAATTATGCTAACGACACTGGAGATTTAGTGCGAGAACATGCAGATGGGCACGTTCTGTCCTGCTGATAACTAAAGTTTTGTAAAATTATTTCGTTGTCTCTCCTTGCTGCCAGTTTCAAACACTTTGGAAATAGAAGTGTCCATGGGTAGCATTAATGTTATGCTTAATATTCATCAAATTATTACTATAGAGAGACAGGCTAAGTGGGTTACTCCTCACTGGGAAAATGTTCCTGCAATGTTTTACTGGTACATGTTCCCCAACTAGTCAGGATCTGAGCTATAATGCCATCTGAAACACTAAAGATTATGAATGTAATGGGACCTAAAGAAACCTTTGGCTCTCTAGGGTAAGAAATAATCTAAAATCTGCTCCCAACTGGTATGTATATTTATAATCATAAATACATTTATTTTACTTCCCGTATAAGTGAAAATCACGTTTCAGGCTTTTACCTCTGGGAGTTTGCATAGCTTGGAAGTTAATAAATATTTTATTCTGGTATAGGCCCTAACAAGTAATGTTAGAAATTTGTGTTGAGTAGCCAAGAAATTTCTCTAACCAAAGTTGTTTATCAAAATCTTAAATGACTTCTAGCTACAACATCCGGAAGAAAAACAGATAGTGACATTTCAGTCGGTTATCATGGACACTTGTATGGCATGTTTAAATGTTAATTTCTTCTTAACTTAATCACTAAGGATTTTGATTTCCATTAGCCAATTACATTTAATGACTGACCTCTAACATTTGGAAAATGAAGTTTTAAACAAAGATTATTTAAAATCATGGTCAAAAATGTATCTGAGATTAAAGTATTTGAACACTAATGACTTGTGTTTTGATAAAATCATTTAAAAAGCAAAAGATAATCACAGATTTCTAAATATATCAAGACAACATTGATATTGTTACCATTTCAATTTACTTTATTTGAAGCTGAGGGCAGAAATCAATATTATTTTCACTTGCAATACATTTATTGTTTTGTGTAATCCATAGTGAGTGATTATGGCATATATAAAGAGATTTGTGGAATCCTTCTAATCGAATTTTACACACAAGTAATATTCTTTCAGATGGGTAACAATTTTAATCTGGCACTTTAGACTATCAAAAATGAACGTTGAAATAGCACTGTAATTATAACTTAAAAAGAATTTTCCAAAGTTTCTCTCAATTTTTAATATCTGCTAAAGATAACTGGCTCCTTCAAGCCCAAGTTCCCTGAAATTCTCTTGATAAAAAGTGTAACCTTTATTAACTGTTTTCATCTGAAACTGAAATCCACCTTAATACTCTATTTGCCCAAGATAGGATTAAAAACATGCAGGGCTTTCTTATACATTGAGTTCACAAACATTTTGTTTTCTTTTGTTTTTATTTTCTTAAACCCCTATGTGTTGGAGAGGTTGTTGGATGAAATATATAGTTCTGAAGAAACAGAGCACTTCAGCTGTATAACAAATTGCAGTACTTGAATCACAGAATCAAATTGATACCCAGGAGGTGGTGCCAGTCAGGTCTCTATGGTGAAATTCATAAGAAAATAAACAGCAACAATAACAACGACAACAACAAAAGGTAATGGACCATGGGCAGGAATATTTCATCATATGTATATGTGTACAAGCTATTCCAAGCTAGAAGTTTCCCAAGAAATTAAGGTCAATGGAATAGTTTTGGTCATAGGGTCACTGCAATCCAAATGCTCCTGGTAGCGCTGTTCAAGACTCTGTAATCTGTTATGCTTTACTGTCATCTTCTTTTGATTGGATGATGTCGTTAGAAACCTTAATTTCTATAGTTTCTGGATTTAAGACTTCTTTTCCATTTTCTTCTTTTAAAGGCAATTTCCTGGAAGGAAACAGAAAAATAACAAATTTCATTTTGTAAGGCAATTTAAGTAGTATTCCTTCATATTTGTTACTGTTTTACAGAAGGAAATATCTACAATTACTAGAATGAAAAAAATCAGATGTGGTCAAGTGATACCGCATTGATAGAAAAGTAAGTAAGTAATTAGACAATATTGTGTATTGTAAAAATGTGACATACTGCAGAATGATGAAAGAAACAATATACTTGCAGATTCAGATGTACCAAAACTTTCACATTAGGGTGGCTTAGATTTGATAATCACCTATTGATACAAAAAATACAATTGTTTGCAATCTCAAAAAGCCAATTTTTTTAGATGTCAGCTAGATGAGTTACTAGCACCTAAGTTCTTTTTTAATAAAAGCAATTAATAGTTGCTGCCATATTGTTATATCTAAACTTCAAAACCTGGGTGAATTAGCTCTATTCCCTGGAACTTAATGAAAAGAAATATATCTCATCATTTTCTCACTTTCTACATTTACTGTATATGTTTTCTTTCATTGGTCTCTTGTCACTATTATGTTTTATTATTTTTGTATCACTTATGAGCATATTTTTAAGAGTGTTTTTCAATTATAATCTATGAAACATAACAACCAGTATTTCTTAATATTAATATAGCTTCACAAATCTTACTGTGATGACAATGATTTTAGATTTATAGTTTTTTCTACCAGTCTTGAACTGGTTTACTATTATGCCTTATGTATATGGCTTTCAGGATAAATGCCCTCCCTTGACAAAATATAATCCTACATCAAAAAAAATTCAAATTCGGTTCTATATGTAACCTCACCATTTTGTGGGGTGGTGAACATTATTACTATGCTATTTTCTCTGGGATTTACTTATAATTTCTTTTATACTTTTGAATGAGAAGAGGAAGATCAATGCTCTTATGTGTAAACTAACCAATCAAAAGTAAGTCACAGGTAAAAACTACTATGACACATTGCTGAGAACGAGAGAGCTTCTACTTTGCACCTACTAGGGCAGGCTGTTTTATGTGTATTGTAAATAGTGCTTTTACAGTTCTTCCCTTCTCCCATACCCAAGTAGTGCACACATTGACAATAAAAGATAAAACAATGGGTCATTTCTAGCAGCAAAACATAGAGAAATTTAGAGCGTGAATGGGAGGTTAGCATAATGCTTAGTATACTCATACTTAAAGAACTATGTAAGAGTTTGTAATTAACCAATGTTTTCAACTAGTTCTTGGATGATGAATTTTTGCATCTCTAATTTTCACTACTTATGTTTATGTATGTGTTTTTTAAAGATATATTAATTCTATTATTTTTATATTGAGTATTTCTTTTCTATAATTGGGGATCAGAGTAGTTATTAAAACATTTTTTGTTTTGCTTTTGTTTTAATTTTGCAAAAATATACTGTCATGTGTAAGAGAAGTCTTAGCTGGATTTTTTTTTTTGCAGTTTTAAGATTTTATTTATTTATCTATTTATTTATTTATTTCTGAGATTTTATTTAAATTCAAGTTAGTTAACATATAGTGTAGTATTGGTTTCAGGAGTAGAATATAGTGATTTATCTCAGTATTCTATAGCACTGTAAGTTCTTACAGCTCTCAGATTCTACACACACCAATCTCTCGTTGAATGTATTCATTAATAGATAGAACTTTGTTTTGCTGTGTAGTATTCTGCTTCATTGCAAATACATCTGAATTCTGAAGGAGAAACTATAGAACCCACCGTGTAAAAGCTGCCTCTACAAAAGTCAACTTCAATTTAGAAGGCAATAATCTCTAAATGTGGTCACTGACATGACCTAAGGATTTATGCTGAAATTTTAGCTACAGAGTAGTACTTTGTATTTCTCTAAATAGTAATTATTTCAGCCCCTTGAGAATAGAGAGGAGGGATTTCTGAAACAAGTATTTTCTTCACCTGTGACAACACTCATCTTCGGATTTAGGATGAGAAGCCTAAATCAAATTTCTCTGCAAGGGAATGTTTGCTGGTAAAGAAAAAGGGAGCTATAAGAAGTAAAATTCCGGGGCGCCTGGGTGACTCAGTTGGTTAAGGGTCTGACTTAGGCTAAGGTCATGATCTCACCTCAAGCTCTGTCTCTCTTTGTCTCAAAAATAAATAAACATTTAAGAAAATAAATAAAATAAAATTCAAAAGTCATTTTGGTGAGCAGTATTTAAAGGACAATATGATAGTCCTGGTTTTTTAGTATTCGATGGATTCCACAGAATACTATTATCACGTCTTAATAACACTTTTGGCTCTAATCATTTTAACTTTCATGTGACTGAACATAATCTTTGCACACGTTCATCAACTTTTAAAATTTAGTTGGAATACCTGCTGTAGTTATAATGGAATTCTGATGGGTATAGAAAAAGTAAATAATATAATCTTGAATGGAAAGCAAGCACCATTTCCTATATAGATATTAAAATAATAGGCAATTTAACAGTAATTCTTCCACTCCTAATAATATTCTTTCTTCATAATATAGACGTGTGTATATATCACACTATTAATTTTTATTTTAAATTGTCATAGTCATATTCAGAATAATGACTAATTTCCTGACACATTTTTATTTCAGTAAAAATCACATTTGAAAGTATGACTTTCTTAACAAGTAAGTTAAGTGTAAAAAACTCCAACTCCAACACCTTCCATCTTTCTGACATTTTTCCATAAAATTATAAATATATGTTTGAACGGTAGATTTTCTCTGGCATTGATACAAATTTTTCATGTGGAATGTCTCAAAAAAAGGGATTTTCAATATTCACATGTATTTTCCTTGAAAAAGAAATAATTTTCCACAAACGAATTATTGTAAATATATGCTACCATTTTATAAATATTTATCCAAAAATAATTAAGCATTTGAAGCTACATACTCAGGTTCTGTCAGTGGTGTGGTTTCATTTGGCTCATTTACTGGGCTCCCATCCTCATGATTAGTAATTCTTTCATCCTCTGTTCTCATCTCCACTATTGGTTCTTTTGATCCATCTTTCCTAGAAAAATAACCAAGCAAACAAACAACATTACTCATATAACATAAAAATATATGCATTATGAAACATAGATAAGAATCTCTAATTAATCCCTTCCTCAAATCCAACATGGTCATATTAATAATACCACTAAGGGGCCCCTGGGTTGTTCATTTGGCTGAGCATAGGACTTTCGCTCAGATCATGATCTCATAGTTTATGTGATCAAGCCCCGCATGGGACTTTGCACTGATGGTGACGAGCCTGCTTGGGATTCTGTCTTCCTGTCTCTCTTTGCCTCTCCCCTACTCTATCTCTCTTTCTCTCCCTCCCGTGTGCACCCTCTCTCTGAAAAATAAACATTAAACAAATAGAAAGAAAGAAAAAGGGGGTGCCTGTATGGTTCAGTGGGTTGGGTCTCCAACTTTAGCTCAGGTCATGATCTCAGGGTGCATGGGTTCAAGCCTCGTGATGGACTCTGTGCTGCCAGTTCAGAGTCTGGAAGCTGCTACAGATTTTATGTCTGCCTCTCTCTCCCTGCCATTCTCCCACCTGTGCTCTCTGTCTCTCTCAAAAATATTTAAAAAAGAATATCACTAAGAAATTTTTTTTCATTTAAATTCATCTCACTCATGTAATTTTCACTCAGAAGGAAATAGAAAAAAGAAATTTCGTTTTGTCTAGATTCCTTTTCTCATCAAAACTGTGTTAATTTTTTATAAAAGTCCAAATTTTAAATTCAATTGTGCAGTTTATTTTTGGAAATAAATAAAAAAAATACTTTGTTAAATAAAATTATGACATGAAGTAGCTTTTTCCTCCTAACTAGCAATATGTTTTAATTTTTATTTGAAATATAGCATCAGCAACATTGCTTTTATATTAAAATTTGGAATATAAGATTTATGTTTTATTGTTTTAAATGCCTCTATGAATTTATATGAATGATTTTAACTACAATATGATATTGACTTAACATATTACATTTTCAAGAAAATAGTTCAAATAAAAACAATATTATAACATATATGCATGATGTTTTCACTTGTAACTTCAAATCCAGGCCATCTTCATTGGATTTTTCAAATAAGAGAGTGCGTGTAATTGTTCATAATTGTGAAAAGTAGAAAGTTTACTGCAAAATCTCATATCTCAAAAAAGGAACAAAAAATAAGGAAGGCATTTAGAGATGATAATGAGTACAGTGAGATATAAAGATTAGAAACAACACATTCATAACGCAGGTTATAATTATGGCATAAGTTAAAAAAAAAAAAAAAAACCTCAGGAGAGAGATAGGGGTCTTTCATCCAGGCACGTGGTCTTCCTGTACAATGCTACAGCTATACTCTAACATATTTACCCAAATAAATTGAAAATCTCGACTTACACAAAAATATGCACATGAATGGTTATAGAAGTTTTATAAATTGAAAACAACAAAGATGTTTCTCAATGGGTGAATAGATAAATGAATTGTGATCCATCCATACATTTGAATATTATTAACCAGTAAAGAGAAATGAGGTATCAAGCCCCAAAGACATGGAAAAACTTTAAATGCATTTTGCTAAAGAAAATAAACCAATCTGAAAAGGCTTTATATTGTGTAATCCCAATTTTATAACATTTTGGAAAAATGCAGTTAAAGAGAAAATAAGAAGATCAATGTATGTCAGGCATTCAAGTCCAGGGAGGGATGTAATGTAGAACTCTGGTAATGGCAGATATATGACATTAAAATTAGTCCTTAAAAATCAAGTAAACTGGGAGCACACACAAAACAAAGCAAACAATTAAACGCTGACAGTGGCACAAATATTTAACAGACCTAACAAATGCTGACACTTGAACAGGAAAATATTAAGAATGAGTAAAACACTTTTGATCAAGTGGCTGATTGAGTATAACTCTTATCTTACTTAGTATGTAGGTCCCTCACATACATGTACATCAAAATTTTAAGAAAGATGTCAGTAAAAGTAGAAGAAAATCTAGAACTCTATCACCTGTTGTTAATAGTGAAGAATTCTTTATATCTCTAAAACAGAAATGCCTGGTAGGACTGGTGATTCAGACATGTTTAGCAACATTTCCTGAATAGGGGTTCCAAGTAAGCAAGACCTACATAATAGTAAAGATGATTAAAGAGCCCACCACCATTAAATTTTAGTTATATGGTATTTTGTTTGCTGTTGTTGTTATTCTTCAATTCATTCTTCTAAAAAAATTCTTCATGAGGGCATCTGGGTGGCTCAGTCTGTTAAGCATCCAACTCTTGGTTTCGGCTCGGGTCATGATCTCACCGTTTTTGGGTTTAAGTCCCGCATCAGGCTCTGTGCTGACATGTGGAGTCTGCTCTGGATTCTCCCTCTCTCTCACCCCTCCACCACGGAAGCATACCCTCTGTCTTTCTCTCAACATAAATAACTAAACTTTAATGAAAATTAAAAAATAAAAATTCTTCAAGATGCCAATGCTTTTGATGTCAGAGGATGATACTGTTTGGGAAAATGTAGTTATTGATGATTCTGAGCAAAAAGTGATTCAAAAGGCTGGATTTTATTTTTAATTATATTAACAATTGGTTCAGATAAAATAAAACACAATGCAAAAAAAAAAAAAAAAAAGACCGTGAATTTGAATTTAGTTATATCTTCCCTATTGAAAATAATATGTAAACAAAAAACTTGAAACTAGAAATGATAAAATTACTAACAGGAAATTAAATAGTAACAAGAGAACATGGTAAGTTGTCTTAAAAATCCTTATTTTTGTTTTTTTTTTAATTTTTTTGGGGGGGTAAAGCATCAGTGGGGGAGGGACAGAGAGAGAGGGAAACAGTGGTTCTAAAGCAGACTCTAGACTTTGAGGTGACAGCAAAGAGACCAATGTGTGGCTCAAATCCACAAATCACGAGATCATCACCTGAGGGAAGTCAGACGCTTAACAGACTTAACCACCAAGGTACCCCCTTATTTTTATTTAATGATCTTTAAAAATTTTAACTAGCTAGGCTCTTCATATAGTATAGAATTCTACAAAAGGATATATAGAGAAAAGTACACCTCTCCACCATTCCTTATTTACAGGATCTTTAGTTCCCTATCAAGTAGACAATTACTGTTATATCCCTTCTATATGTACACTAGCATATATGCATAACAATGCAGGTAGTTATTTTCACACAAATGGCACACAAGAACTGAATATAATTTTGCCTTTTTTTTTTTTTTAATATATAGAGAGAGCAAATGGGGAAGAGGGACAGAGTGAGAGAGAATCTAAAGCAGGCTCCACACTCAGCACAGAGTCCAATGTGGAGATTGATCCCATGACCCTGGGATCATAATCTGAGCCAAAATCAAGAGTTGGAGGTTCAACTGACTGAGCCACCCAGACACCCCTAATTTTGCCTTTTCAATTAACACTAGACATTATCTGAGCTCATAAAAGAATAGTTAGAGCTGCCTCTTTTTTTTTTTTCATGGTGCATATTATCCCAATGTATATGTTCATCACCATATATTTGGCCAGTATCCAACCAACTGACATTTAGGTTGATTCCAGTATTTTCTATTACAGTATATACTGTAAGGAGTATGAAGTGCATATTTTACTTACCCTTAGGTGAAAATAACTGAGGCACACATATAGCTTACATGAGTCTAATTCCTATCTTATGTAAGTTATATTTAATTTTACTTGGTATCAGAATTATTACTGATATTTGTTGTCGAATTATAAAAAGTGGCAAGGCAATATTTTGTTTGAATTAGCATAAAATGTGTGTCACAATTTATAGACAATTTCACAACATATACACTGATATAAAATAAATGCACTCCGTCCATGTGTCAAGAACTGATTATTAAGCAGAAAATAACAAGTACATACAGGAGAGTAGTTAAGAGATGTTCCCTGAAACCAACTGGTAGCTCTCATTAACTCACTGCATATGCATTTCTGTGTCCTATTGTCTGTACAGTGAAACAGAGAACCAAACTAACCTCTTCAGAGTGTAAGGCCTGACATATATGCAGTGCTTAATTGGTAACTATCTTCAGTATCCTGGGAGGGCAAATAGGATTCATGTTGGGAAATACATTACTAATACTGTCAACCTCAACGAATTAAAGGAAAACAAATGAAAACATCTTGCAGCATATCAAGAAAGAGCTATTTCATAAAAATTAATCAATTCTTGAATAGAAATTGAAAGATTCACATAACTAATGGCATCATAAACAAAACCCAAATTTTGGGATACACTGGGAAAAATATTTGTAACAAATACAACATCAAATAATTATGGTCACACTATACAATTAAAAAGTAAGAGATGGGTGCCTGGGTGGCTCAGTTTGTTAACCATCAGACTCTTGATTTCGGCTCCGGTCATGATCTCGTAGTTTCTGTATTCAGGCGCAGTGTTGGGCTCTGCATTGATCATGCGGAGCCTATTTGGGATTCTTGCTCTCTCCCTCTCTCTCTGCCCCTCCTTCTCTCTCTCTCTTTCTTAAAATAAATAAATATGCTTAAATTTTTTAAAGTAAGAGAATAGTTAAATAACTGCACGAAAAAATAAGTAAACAACTCCATAAAAATGTGTAAAGAGTATGAACAAAAAATCCCCTAAGAAATAACGTGACCAAAATAAAATTAAATAAGCTCAGACCTAACCTGGATTAGAAAAAATACATATTTTAAATAATACCTTTCACTTATTATATTGACAAAAATAAAAATTTATAACACTTACATATTTGACAAGAAATAGAGAAATATATCTTATCTTATTTTACCGGGAGTATGAATTGGTATAAACTATTGTGGGCAATTTGTCGATATTTTTCAGTTTTCATCTATATCTCTTATCTAGGAGCTTAGTGTACATTTACAACAAGATTTATGTAAAAATTAACCTCAAAACAGCATAATATACTTCAATATAATAAAATGTTGAAAGTTTCATCTAAATTGTAGGAAAAGCGGATAAATGCATTTTGGCATTTGAAACT